CCACGCAATACAGCCTCTACTATGAAGGCAACGGTGGTCAAACACTTGAAGCCTTCTCATGTCTTCCACCTTGAATGGCCATGTTTCAAAGCCATACAGTAGAAAAGACTGGACTGCTGTGGATCACACACCACCCTTAATAGACAATCGGATATCACGGCGGCACCATAGGTGGCGTAAATTGACAAAAGCCAGCTGACCCTTTTGTACCGTGTACAGATTTCATCGGCAACTAACCCTCCAGGGTTGATCCTACCTCCCAGGTAAGTGAAGTGGTCAACACACTCAACCACTTCACTCTCTATTCTTAGCCGCAGCACCATTGAAGACCAGTCCTGGAGCAACAATTTGCATTCGGGTGGTAAAAACCGCATCCCAAACATTCTCAAATTCCAACTCAAAGTGTTCAGAAGACTCTGAATCTTGTCAGCGTCTTCACCTAACAGGACTATCTCATCTGCACATTCTAGGTCTAACGAAAATTCATCTGCGATTAGATCAAAGTCAGTGTAATTAGGTGACGAGAGGGAAACCTCCATAAGTATATCTATGATAAAATTAAATAAGGATGCAGACAGTGGACACCCTTGACAGACACCACTCAATGAACATAGCTCCCCGGATATCTCACCATAGGCTCTAACACACCCACAAGTGCTCGAGTAAACAGCCTTCAATAAGGTGATGTACTTACTCAGCACGCCTTTCAGTGACAGACATTACCATAAGACTTGTCGATCAATGAAGTCGAATGCCGCCTTCAGGTTGAGAAATACAGCTATTGTCGGACATCGGCAAGCGTCCCTGTGTTCCAAAACCTTGTGCAGTGTGAATATTCGGTCGATACACCCGTGGCCAGGTCTAAAGCCTGCTTGCCTAGTTTTCTCGGGCTTGCTGTTCCCCAGCTCCACTCAGGCGTCGAAGAATTATGGAACCTAGAATGTTAGACACTATGTTCGTCAGGCTGGTTCCTCTATGGTCATCACAAGAGGACTTCTCGCCTTTCTTGAAGACTGGGATAATCAGTGATTTAGACCAGTCAGAGGGGAGCGTGTTTGATTCCCATATACTGGCTAACACTTCCGTTAACCTGACTAAGAGCATCTCAAAACTATCCTTGCACACCTCTGGAGATAGTCTGTCTGGTCCTGCTGCCCTTCCTCATTTCAGGTTACCTACCACTTTCTCAACTTCTTCTAGTGCTGGGGTCCTATCTCTATGTCCCATTCAGGATCCTACTGGATAGCTTGCAACGCAATCGTGGCTGGAGGCCAGTTAAACTGTTCCTCGAAGTGTTCTGGCCATCGTTTCAGTCGTCTCCACTGCGGGTGAATCGCTGGCCCTTCCTTCTCCGTTACAGTCTCACTATCTGTTGTTGGTCTTTTCCCCCAGTCTCCTTAATAAGTCTAAATATGGTCTTCAGAGCTGCTTTTAAAGCAGACTGAAGAAGGCACCAAGCTTCTTCTCGATGAGTGACAGTATTTTGTTCCGATAACTGCCTAGCCAACTTCTCACTGAACACGCCTTTGATGTCTTCGTTGTCGAGCTGCACACGTAGTCGGTTTGTTGCCAAACGTTTTCTACTTCCATTGGGACGCAGGCACATACGTGCTCGGACCAACGCGTGGTCGCTGTCCAAACACATACTCCAGAAGGAGCAGCAGTCTTCCACCGATCCTCTCCAGAGACGACTGATAACAATGTGGTTTGTCTGTGTCCATCGCTGAGTTGAGCTCGGTGGACGCCAGGTCAGACAGTGCCTTTCTTTATGTCTGAAATTTGTGCTGGCTAAAAATAGGCGGTTATCTGAGCATAGTTGTAATAGGCGATCACCGTTATCTGTACGTTCAGCTGGGATTCCGAAAGTGCCACCTAAGTGCCTTTCTGCCTCACTCAGTCTACCCACCTGTGCGTTGAGGTCACCTGCAACAACCAACACGTCCGAACGTTTGGCTTTCGAGAGGAGGTTAGACAGTTTATGGTAGAACTCGTCCTTCACTTCATCCGAGCTGCAGTCAGTGGGTGCGTAAGCAGAGATTACAAAGAGACAACGGCGAGTCTCACTATTCCTTTTAGTTCTCACTGTGCCGTTCAGCCTCATAGCGCAGAGGCGACTATCAACTGGGATCCAGTCTAGTAGTGAGTTTTCTGCCCTGCTGCTTAATGCTATACCTACACCTGCAAGACCACGAGAGCTAGCTATCGAATCTCCAGAAACTCGAAGGGTGAATTTTGTGCATTCACCAGATTGGTCAGGAGAGGTCAGGTGAATAACCACACTTGGGTCCTGTATGCGTGTCTCACAAACACAGCACACATCCATGCCCGAGTTGCTAGAGTCTTTGCCAACGAAGCCTGTTGGCCAATTTGACGGAGGGTGCGGACATTGAAGGCTCCAATATGTAATTTGGAGCGTGGTTTAAGGAGACCAGGGATGCTGTTCTGTGGACTCAGATCGTTGTCGAAGGCTGCAGAGGTAGGAGAAATTGAAGATGATGCAGCATCATTAATTAAGAGACGTGAAGGAAGATTAGAAGGTAATGATGGAGGAGGAGGATAGCAGTCAGAAGAAACTTGGGTGCTGACAGAGTTGTGAGGGCGGTTGACACTTCCCGGCTGCCCACACCGTGGAAGGCTATTTCTTCTTAAGGTACCTGAAAGAGATTTGTGTGACCGCAGAGCCCATCGGACATCTGCTTGAGGCCTGTCACACCCAGCCTTTTGAGTATGATTATTTTGAACTTTTGTATTTTTGGGGCCGGATGGTCGAAAGGAAACGACAAGTGAACCAACACCGCCGGCCCGGCAGACCGTGGGGCGTGGTGGAGTGTGTTATTTTTGGGGCCGACCTTTTCTAACCCCCCCTTCCACTGAGAAGGCAGCATCAGCTTGGCACTGCTGGTCATCCAAGGGAAACACCTTACTGCTGTCACACCCCATCCAGCTAGCAGCAGTACGACTTCGCCCTCAGACCCCCATCATAGTGTAGCAATTTACACTATAACGGTAACTGCTTTTCGTCTAACCACTATCCAACAGGACTTCGAGGGAACAAGCGTTCCACCAGCATAGCTCGTTGGTCATTGTGATATGCAAGCCCGACCACCACGTCAAGGTAGCAGCTGTCGGTCGGGCGTTCTATCTAGTGGCATATCCGAACACTATCCTGTATGACTGTCTAAAGAACAGTGTAAAGCCATCAACAGCACGAATCTTGAGCATCTAGTTAACTCTGATCAGTGTGCTCCACGAGAGTCTTCTTTCAAAGTCATTTATAATGTGAAATCAAGCTTTTCGAAGCGAGTGTGTATTTGCCACCTAAACACAGCAGAAACTCTGCCAAACCAACACTACAAGTCTGGTCTTCACGTTCAAAAGAGGTATATGCAATCCTTAAATTTGTCTTGGTCGTAATCTCTCTAAGACGGTTTAATCATTTCTTCCTTTATTTACTATAATTCTATAAGTAATTCTGATGACCTCGAGTTGACCTTCTAACCGTTATCATCTTGCGACTTTACTGACCGCTTTTGACGACTTTATATTGACCGCTTAGCTACTTACGAATATATATTCTGTTGAAACAACGATTATGATGATTTTTCGAAAACACATTTTCTTCGCCAAACTGTCTTTTGTTAGTTTTTTATGTCATCATATCAAGCGGGAAATCACTAAGATAAAAGATTAAGAAATAAAGAAGAGTCGGTCTAAAGAGGTAAAAGGAGTTGAAAGGAAGAAGGAGGAATAAGAAAATACTGAATTCAGTATGTTGATTAGAATGATGATGTGTGGATACATCTACGCTACCAATATCGTTCTATGTCAAGTCACCTAAAGTTTCCAACAGCCAGTATCTGCTGGCATGCAGAATCTAAAGGAGAATTTTACATTTCCCTATACGGCTAACACCAACAATTAGAGAATTCGTGCAGTAATGACAACTGACGATAGGCTTTGATACGCTCAGTGGTGTTTTTTATAAGCTTTTAGTATAGCATGTGGTCAATACACTCACTACAAAGTTCAAAACTTGCCTGGTTTTCTAGGGCAAGTAATCTTAGACGTTTAATTACTACAGAAACTATGAAGTTCGTCACGATCATTCTACTGATATTACGAAAGGAGGATTTGTCTTTTTCTTGAAGACGTAGACAGTAAGTAACTAAGACGAACCAGAAGGGAATATATATGATCCTCATACGTAGGCTAACACTCCATTCAACCTAACTAATAAGCTTGACTACCGTCTTTAAAAATTTCTGGTACCGGTTCAACGAAGTCTGTTTCGTCTCCGATTACTTGCAGCCTTCTTAACTTCTACAAACATTGAAGGTCCCATCTCTAGGTTTGCATTCAGGATTCGACTGCATAACTGGAAAACAAAGAGAAGATGAAGTCCAGTTACATCTGTTGCATGGGATAAATGAATGATAAATCCTGAACGTACAAACCGATTTCGGTGAACTGTGCTTCAAGGATATGAGACAATAACTGAAAATTAGATGAACAGATCGGTGAACTATACCTCATGTTGTGATCATAACAGAGAGACAGACAAAACCAACATAGGACGTGGTATAACTGCGTAATGGTTCAAGTTGCCACGCCACAAATCATTCTCATCAAGTGAGAATGTATTAAGATGAAAGATGAAGAAATAAAGAATAAACCAGTCAAAAGTGGTGGGAAGTAGTAAAAAGAGAAGGAGCCGCACGAAAATACTGAATTCAGGATGACGATTAAGATTAAGATAATTTATGGATACATCTGCGCCATTGACATGGATTTTGAGTCATGTCAACTAGCCTCCAACCACTACTTTCTGCTATCATGCGGAACCCAACCTGTAAATCACCAAGTGTCTCTATAACCAACCCATTCAAACAACTAAATATTGCGTCTCGCCGCAAGTAGATAACTTTACAATGTAACGTTTATATATATATATATATATATATATATATATATATATATATATATATTCATTTAAAACTCACTTTGTATAGATGAACAAGAAGGTAAGTGGTATAAAAATCTGGCTGAGATATCCAGTTTCGGAACGGAATAGTTGACACTCAAGGATAGCCCTACAGACAAAACGTATAGTGAACTAGTGAGTTAAGTTGACTATGTTTAAACTGTGATTCATAAATATCTAAAGATAATTGGCAAAGAAATCGAAAGCCTGATTAATTTGATTTCACAAAGATATCGTAGTGGAATCTGTAGATTCGGTTAGACGAAGTTGTGCTATTCCTAAACAGTTGATTTAGGCTTACAAGTTACTTCTTGACCGCATTATTAATGGAAGTTTAAAAGTTCATGTCTCTGTGACTTTCCGAATTCTATCACTCCTAGATGTTTGGATCTAAAATAGGAAAACACAGTAGATATACCATTTGAGCACTCTGACAGATCACAATTCCATATCAGATTAGTCTATTTGATACAGCTTAAAGTGATACAGTATCATTTACTGGGTATTTTGAGTAGAATTTATTGCTCATAATCATATCAAAGTAATCATACAACGTTATTACCTGGTTCTGATAGTTCTATTGTTTTTATTCTCTGATGAAACGCGTAGTAAAATTTCCTATACATCCGGAATTGGGTGTTGCGTCATTTCAACTACACGTGTTAGACGTTGAATTGATGAACAAGGGTTCAGTGAACAAAGTCTCTTTCTATCCAACTACATTAGTCCTTAGGACTATTACTCTGCCCCACCCTACTGTGTGTTAGCGTGTTATTGCAGGCATACCTATATGGCTTATTTCTTGTCTGCATTACTCATCTTAGTAGGGGATATCAACCTAGGCTCTTATGTTCGGCTAACTTGACTGGTTTATCAGAGTCCTGAAGTTTATCTTGGATACATACAGAACCGAAACTAAGGCCTCCATTCCGAGGGGTCAGTAAGCAAATAGTTTGCGTCAAAACTGAACATAATTTTTACCCAACAAAGAGCTTCAATTCAATTTTGAAATATTAATGCTTTTCAGTAATCCAATTAGTGTCATATATCATAAAACACATTGGTCAAATCAATGTAGGACATACTTAAAAGTAACGATGGAATTTTTTACAGCAATGATGAAAACATACCAATTTGGATAAAAATATCTCTTTTAATCCACCAAGATGTGTGCAAGTTGCCAATATATCGCTTTCAATACGACAACTAGTAAAATCAATATTTAAAGAGCCAATCCAAGATGAAGATGATGATGTCAGTGAGGAGTTAATGCTGCTACCACCAGAACGAGAATTTTGTACATAATCACTTGATTTCAGACCACACGAAGCAACCAAGCCAAAATAAGTATACCCATAATGTTCAACTAGAACTGGTATAGGACTTTATTGATACAAGTAGAAAAAAGAGACTTTAGAACAAATAGCAACATTTTCTCGAATAGGAAAATATATTACTACTCGATATTAATATATTGGGTAATTGTGGCAGTGTAATTCACTAAATAAATGCAGGTTTACGTACACGATCAAGAGTTACATATTAGATTTGTTTATTTGATATACAGCACAGTGATACAGTATTATTTACTTGACGACGTTTCCAGCACAAGTTATTGCTCATAATCATATCAATGTAATCACAAAATTTTCGACATCTGATTTTTATAGTCCTGTTGTGAGAAACGACAAGACTGAGAACCAGGAAGAAATGTTTATAATCGATATCTTCCGCAGTAGTGATCAAATATTGTACGCTTTCCGTTAAAACAGTCATTTGCACAATGTGTTTCATTTCCTCTTCTGCTTGTATCTTCATTTGCTATTAATATGCTCACTTTGTCTCTTGCGTCTCTCTTGACAAAATCTCTACCCATTGCTGGTAATTGCCTATGATTTCTGCCACCCTCTCAGCATATAAAACTTACATCCATTCTGATCAGTAGTGCCCACTACACTATCACCTTATATTCTTTGCTTTTACTGGTGGTAAAATTTTCTACTTTTCTGGTATAGGTGTTGCATCATCCCTATTACATATGTTGGGTGTTGATTCGATAAACTAAGATTTAGTAATTAACCTCTCCCTCCAATTAACTATAAGTACAGTGGTTTTATCCCATCCTATTGTGTGGTTGTGTGTTAGTGCGTGTATTGCAATAGTTGAGATGTGATTACTTTGGTATGGTTATGAGTAATAATTTAAGCTAGAATCGTAATCAAGTAAACAATAAGGTATGCCGTATCAAATAAATAAATCTAATATGAAATTACATTCCACCACAGTGTCCAAGTTCTACAATTACACGAGAAAAAAAGGCTGACTGAGCGAAGAAACATATTCCTTTTCAACTAAGTCTTCGTCTATGGGTCTACACTGATATACAGTTTTAGAATTCAATCACAATACCAATCAAGTCGTGGGGGGTTGGTGAACAATAATTATGGATTTTAAGTGAGTCGTGTTCTTTATGCTGAGTGTAGTGCAGTACATATGAATCACTTGGCATGTGGCATCATGTAGCACATAACTGCTGTTGAATAGGTTGACAAAGGTTTATGGCACTAAGTAATGTTGAAGCAGCTGCATGCCAAATGACTTCTCGGTCGACGCTGTCGAAGGCCTTTTCGAAATCGATGAAGTTAACGTAGAGTTGAATTGACTGCCATTCTATACTCCGTTCTATGATGATACATAGCTTAGCGTTGCAATTTGATCAGCACATAATTTGTTCTTCCTGAAGCCAGCCAGCCTGTTCCGGTCGTAATTTTGAATCCAGAGCATCTTTTAGTCTCTCCAGGATGATGCGGTTTTATATTTTGCTTGGGGTGGACAGCAGCATGATTCCTCGCCAGTTCTTGCAAAGGCTTAGGTCGCCCTTCTTTGAAAGTTTGATAAGGTAGCCCCTCTTCCAATCTGCAGGTATCCTTACTTCTGCAGTAGTGGTGTGAGCATGTCCGCTGTTGTCTCTGCGTCTGTTTTCAGTACTTCTGGGGGAATTCCATCTGGTCCTGCTGCTTTCCCGGACTTCAGCAATTTTATGGCGTTCAGGACTTCACTTCTGTTTTTGTCGTAGGGCTTGTTCTGCTTCACTTGCCAATGTGTCGTAGAAGTGTTTTTTGTCTTTGCGCGCACTCTTCTTCACTTCTTTGTCCAGTGCAATGATATATACGTTGTACTCAGTTCTTCTTTTCGTTGTTCATCTTCTGCTTCACCATCTTCCTCTCCCTCCTCTATCAGCTTCCATGTGTTCGTCGAGATCCATTCCTTGTCTTACTTCTTCTTCCCTCCTAAGACGACTATGCAGGGTTTTTTTCCATGTCTCTTTCACAGCGTTCCAGTGTTCTTCCATGATCGATCCTTCAGGGATGTTGCTTAATGTCTCCCATTTTGTCCTGATGGCTGACGCGAAGATGTCCTTTGGAATTTCGTCCTTCACTTTCTGGGTGTTGAACTTGAACTGTGGTCTGTCACCAACTTTTTTGAAGGCTTTCAACTTGATTTTGAAGATAGGTTCCTTGCACTAGATAGTTTTTAGTTTTTATATTTTGTTTGCAGTTTCCTAAGCGATTGGGTAGGATTGCTAGCTCTACGCTCAACCTTCACTCTTTACCCGGGCTTAGGACCGGTTAGCAACTAGTGAACTAGCTAACCAGGCGAGCTAGTAAATTTTATAACGGTAGACCGAATGCTGATACTTTCCTGTTCATCGACTTTATTGATATGAGACAGATAGACTAAGGTAGCACTTTAAGCAAAAAAGGATTAGTCCAAGTTGCTAAGCTTCATATGAACAGATGAAACGGAATTCGACAGAAAAAGAATAATGTTAAAGTATACAGAGGAGAGAGAATAAATAACGAAGCTTAATGTTCACAATCTTTAAGATGATAACCAATGAGTACTTCTGACCAACTTTGACAAATTCCATATCATGTCTTAAAGAGTCTTCAAATTTGAGTTCGCTAGCTAGATAGCCTGTGGCTATGGATATGTGAGGATAACTGAGTGATGCATATACACTACACTAGCCAATTAGTACACTTTAACTGATGTCAGAAGACAGAATAAATAATCAGTTAAGTTGTTCCAAGGCATATGACTAAGTTTCATCGACTATAAAGTTTCTGAGTGATAATAATCCCATCATCTGACATTCATTCATTTGCTATCTCAGCAACAAAATCAAACTTAAATGAACTACTTTAAAAATCATAAGTAACATGCATGCTATTTATTCACTTCAGTCACTCCAATCCGCTTATATTTTAAAGATCAAATCGACTGTCAACACCAAGTGGCAATAGTCTGATAACGTTTCTGACAAAATGTAAATGCAGACGGAAGACAATGACCAACAAACATGTATTAGACTCAGGAATACGAAATAAAAGATCATGGTGATTCTCAAATAGATAAAAAAACAAATGAACTTCGATAATCAACACCTATTGTGCATGGAATGGTTGGAATCTTGAAAAGAAACTCGTTGTAATGAAGATACATGCTGGATTGAAACTAAAAGCTTCTATTTTTAGGTACCATTGACAGATGAAGTAACGATTTAACCTTCTACTATTCAAAACTATTAGGAACTTGTCAAAAGAGCAAGCGTTGAGGTAAGATATAATCTAAGTCAGTGATAAATGAAAATTCCAAAGCTTCAAGTAAATTTAATTTATGTACTGCTCACGTATTTTCTTATCAGGAATAAGTTAGAAGCCCTTCATACACTTAAACTCACCATCGAGTTGCATAGACAGCCATTTCGATTGAACTGAGCAATAGACTAAGTCGGGTACCACCCTTGATCTCTCCATCTTCAGGCTGTAGGAGGAATGCATGCGACAAGCCAAACCTAGACATCCAATGAGAAATGATGAAAAATACAGGGATTATGAGTTACTAACAACTTTAAAACAAGCAGTTAGTGGACATTATCTATTTGTTTTGTAATAATGTCTTACTTTTTAAGTATATAACTGGTCAGAAGCATGAAAGAATAGCTTCACTTTATGATTAGTGCTATAATCAAGTGAACCTTTTAGACCTATATCCAAATAATCAACCAACTTCGCTGCACATGATTTCAAAAACCTGATTAATTTGAAAATGAAAATAAGATATATGAGCTAATGTGTTCTGTTGTATTTCACATACGGTAGGAACTTTTAACATACTTAAATTGAACATGTTGACTCTACAATAGTGTGCTCATCAATAAGCTTGAGAGTTCTGGAAAGCTTCAGTTCTGATCTGATATATGTATCTTCCACTACTTGGTAATTATTAGACTTATTACAACTGAACATCTATATTTTCAAATATTACAAATGTATCCACTACAGGGCTAAGTTACGATATTCGGCTACCTGAGAAGGTCCAACTTTATTAGGTCTAGAGAATAAATTTATAATAAATTGTTACACAAACAATCCAAAATATTTTCATGGGTAGAACTAGAGGATACATATTGATGCAAGTTCCTAAGCTCAATTCTTTCTACAATTCGCTGGTATCCTTAAATTTTAAAAATACTTTAAAACTCGTCACTTTACAAAAATTGTTTGCTATTTGGTAAAAAATTGAGATCTTCAGTTAAAATTGAAGACTACTGATCAACTGTGTGATGCCGTCACAAAGACTAATGACCTTCCCGGTCCCAGTATTTTGATTTCATTGACTAGCACCGTCAAGTGTGAAATCGAGGTTCACAGTTTATTGCTGTTTTACTTCATCCAACTAGCATCTCCGAACTTGCAACTGTATACACGAATTTGCCACGTAGGATAGGAAATACCGGATTTTTACCAAACCTTATCCAATTATGCAACAGTTCCAGTTGCCACACATGCAATAGAGTAGTAAAAATGAAAGAATAGAATGACGATAAAATATGGAAGTCAAAGATAGCAGAAGAAAGTAAAAGATATTATATACAAAACGTATTAGAAAACATCCATGCATCTATCTCAGCCCTGCCAATTTTCAAACACTACACTTTAAAATTCTTAACCAACAATTTTACGTGCTTTTTAGTTGACCTTTATTTAGCTAACAATAACAGATGTTGATAAGGGTGCATAACGCCGGCAGAATATCAATCTTCGACCGCATATATTTTGAAAGTAACCTTGGCGGTACTTCATTCGTGGTGTTCTGGCTTAGTTGCCTAGAAACTCGACTTCTAACCAGCAGGTCACAAGTTCAAACCAGGCTCCACCTACCAAGATTTGGGCAGGCAGTTAGCATCACTAAACCCCACGCAATAGATGTGGTTCATTGGGGACTACTCCACTGTACACAAGATAGTTGAGTGGATTTCGATTATTGATTCGACTCAGTACTTCAATCAGCGAGTGGACAACTTTGGAGCTGGGTAAAAATCACTAGGATAGAAAGATTAGCCGGGAAATGAGGTTCTTAATCTGCATTGGATTTAGGTTGGAATGAAATAAAGTTGTGAGAAAAAATAAACGTGATTCAAATAAGAGGAAGGTAAATATCGACGAAGCAACTAAGTGTTCACCTGAAAGGTATGTGAAAATATAGGCTTCCTTCCTATCTTCTTTGCGTTAGGAACCATATGTTGTGAAAAAAACCGAAGTGGAAGGCATGGGTTTTTGATCTTGCGTTACCATTGCACGAACCAATTTTACCGAGTTACCGCTTAAAGTGCCGTTGTAGTCGTGGAAATGCATCCGCTCTTTATTTTGCTTTTAATCTTAGAGATGGAATCAGTTTACGTATGTTCATTTTCGATCCACTAATATCTACCTAATTCTTGATCATAAGATCTGATTTTCTTTATTGGCTACTTCCTTTTGTAGTCTCAACCAGAAATTATGTATAGGTGTATGTAGGTTAATAATATCGTGTTGATTCGGCCACATTTTGTTTCCTCTTTGAGAATAACAGCCATAGTTAACACTTGTACACTACTGTGAAGTACGGCAACTTGGACCGATGCACCTGTGTGCGAGGTTCTAACTTGGATTTTCTCTCTGTCTAACCTAACACTTGAGTCAAGTTAAATCGATAATTTATGAGCACATATCTATATTCAACCTATCAGGAACTGTAGAAATCTAAATAATGTTGAATTAGGGATTTTCCGAAAATATTTCGCGTCACTAATTGACAACCACCTTTAAGCATTTCAAGTATTCAGCACTCTGTTTCAATGAGAACAACAATGTAGGTGAGCCTACTTCTCGAAAATTTTCCCACGTTTTATAATTCCATTTAAACACCATTCAAAGAGACATTTCAACGTTTCGTCTGTACAAATCAACGATATAAACGAAGAAGTAGTGAAGACGACATGTTTATTTAACCGCATTATTCAATCACTCCATGAAGGTGCACTGAATATGGCGATGCCTAGGCTGAAATCATCAGTTCTCTTCACGAAAACTCAATTCTACGGAGAAGCAAGCCCACAAAGATACTACATACGCACAAGAGTGCAGCTAATACAAAAACGATTTCGGCTATATATATATATATATATATATATATATATATATATATATATATATATATATATATATATATATATATATATATATATATATATATATATATATATATATATATACGTCTAGACAAAGATCGTGAACAGTGGTGGGCAGCGGCGATCGGTAATAATGGACAGTTATTTATACTTATTAAGGGAACTAGGGGGAGAAGGTCAACAACAGTTAGTGAAACTATAAACGAGAAGGAAGGGCCAGCGATTCACCCGCAGTGGAGACGACTGGAACGACGGGCAGAACACTTCGAGGAACAGTTTAACTGGCCTCCAGCCACGATTGCGTTGCAAGCTATCCAGTAGGATCCTGAATGGGACATAGAGATAGGACCCAGCACTAGAAGAAGTTGAGAAAGTGGTAGGTAACCTGAAATGAGGAAGGGCAGCAGGACCAGACGGACTACCTGCTTAGGTATACAAGAATGGTGGTAGAGTGCTCTTAGTCAGATTAACGGAAGTGTTAGCCAGTATACGGGAATCAAACACGCTCCCCTCTGACTGGTCTAAATCACTGATTATCCCAGTCTTCAAGAAAGGCGAGAAGTCCTCTTGTGATGACCATAGAGGAATCAGCCTGACGAACATAGTGTCTAACATTCTAGGTTCCATAATTCTTCGACGCCTGAGTGAAGCTCGGGAACAGCAAGCCCGAGAAAACTAGGCAAGCAGGCTTTAGACCTGGCCGCGGGTGTATCGACCGAATATTCACACTGCACAAGGTTTTGGAACACAGGGACGCTTGCCGATGTCCGACAATAGCTGTATTTCTCAACCTGAAGGCGGCATTCGACTTCATTGATCGACAAGTCTTATGGTAATGCCTGTCACTGAAAGGCGTGCTGAGTAAGTACATCACCTTATTGAAGGCTGTTTACTCGGACACTTGTGGGTGTGTTAGAGCCTATGGTGAGATATCCGGGGAGCTATGTTCATTGAGTGGTGTTTGTCAAGGGTGTCCACTGTCTCCATCCTTATTCAATTTTATCATAGATATTATCATGGACGTCAATCAATAACAACATAGGACCAGCCATTACTGCGTAACGCTCCGGGTTGTCGCACCTCATATCAGTACCTCAAGTAGAAAGATAGTGAGGTGAAGGATGAAGATAAGAGAATGCAGTCAAAAGAAACATGAAGTATGAGAAGAAAGAAAAGAGGAGTGACAAAATGATGAGATTCGTAGAGTGTAGTTAAGATGAGGATAATGTGTGTATACATCTGCGCCACTGACATCGGTTCTCAGCCATGCCATCAACTAGAGTCTCCAACCACTGCTTCCTCTTGTCCCGTGGATCCCAACCACCTAGTCTGCATCGTCCTACATGGCTTAAACCAACAGTCAGAGACTTCATACATTGGTGCCATGTTTTAGTCTGGCCACCTCGGGCCTTTTCCCAGCCTCAACCTACTTCGACCAACATTGTGTGACAAGGATACGTAATATGTGTCCAAACCATCTCAGTCGATGAACGTTCGTAACCTCGTCAACTGATTTACATCGGCTTCCTAAAACTCTGTAAAACTGACGTCTGCGTTACTCACGTGACGACACCACGGAATACGACCTACACTACAGTGGTCGAACACTTGAAGCCTTCTCACGTCTTCCACCTTGAATGGCCATGTTTCAAAGCCATACAGTAGAAAAGACCGGACTGCTGTGGATCACACACCACCCTTAATAGACAATCGGATATCACGGCGGCGCCATAGGTGGCGCAAATTGGCAAAAGCCAATCGAGCCTTTTGTATCCGTGCAGAAATCTCATCGGCAACTAACCCACCAGGGTTGATCCTACCTCCCAGGTAAGTGAAGTGGTCAACACACTCAACCACTTCACTCTCTATTGTTAACCGCAGCACCATTGAAGACCAGTCCTGGAGCAAAAATTTGCATTTGGGTGGTGAAAATCGCATCCCAAACATTCTCAAATTCCCACTCAAAGTGTTCAGAAGACTCTGCATCTTGTCAGCGTCTTCACCTAACAGGACTATGTCATCTGCATATTCTAGATCTAACGAAAATTCATCTGCGATTAGGTCAACGTCTGTGTAATTAGGTGACGAGAGGGAAACCTCCATAAGAATATCTATGATAAAATTAAATAAGAATGGGGATAGTGGGCATCCTTGACGGACACCACTTGATGAGTATAGCTCCCTGGACAACTCACCATAGGCTCTAACACACCCACAAGTGTTCGAGTAGAGAGCTTTCAATAAGGTGATGTACTTACTAGGCACGCCTTTCAGTGACAGACACTGCCATAAGACTTCTCGATCAACGGAGTCAAATGCCGCCTTCAGGTCGAGAAATACAGCTATTGTCGGGCGTCTGTAAGCATGCCTATGTTCCAGGACCTGGCGCAGTGTGAATATTTGGTCGATACATCCACGGCCAGGTCTAAAGCCTGCCTGGTTTTCTCGGGCTTGCTGTTCCCGAGCTCCACTCAGGCGTCGGAGAATTATAGAACTTAGGATCTTAGACACTATGTTTGTCAGGCTGATTCCTCTGTGGTTATCACAAGAGGACTTCTCGCCTTTCTTGAAGACTGGGATGATCAGTGACTTAGACCAGTCAGAGGGGATCGTATTTGATTCCCATATACTGGCTAACACTTCCGTTAACCTGACTAAGAGCATCTCAAAACCATTCTTGTATACCTCAGCAGGTAGTCCGTCTGGTCCTGCTGCCCTTCCTCGTTTCAGGCTACCTACCGCTTTCTCAACTTCTTCTAGTGTTGGGGTCCTGTCTCTATGTCCCATTCAGGGTCCGACTGGATAGCGGGCAGCGCAATCGTGGCTGGAGGCCAGTTAAACTGTTCCTCGAAGTGTTCTGCCCATCGTTCCAGTCGTCTCCACTGCGAGTGAATCGCTGGTCCGTCCTTCTCCGCTATAGTTTCACTAACTGTTGTTGACCATTTCCCCCTAGTCTCCTTAATAAGTCTAAATAACTGTCTACTGTTACCGATCGCCGCTGCCTTTTCCATCTCTTTAGCCTTTGCTGCCCACCACTGTTCACGATCGTTGCGCAGACTTTTCGTCAGTCTATTTTTAAGTTGCGCTCGCTCTTCATTGTACTCAGAGCCTGCAGGGATGCATTCACGTGCATCCATTAGTTTGGAAGAAGCTGCTGATATCCACTGGCTCTTTTTAGCCATTATCTTGGAGTCGGCTACAGTCTCCAGTGCTGCTTTTACAGTAGACTGAAGATGGCACCAAGCTTCTTCTGGATGAGTGACAGTCTTTTGTTCCGATAACTGCCTAGCCAACTTCTCACTGAACACGGCTTTGGTGTTTTCGTTGTCCAGCAGAACTCGTAGTGGTTTTGTTGCCAAATTTTTTCTACGTCCATTGAGACGCAGGCATATACGTGCTCGGACCAACGCATGATCGCTGTCCAAACACGTACTCCAGAAGGAGCGGCAGTCTTCCACCGATCCTCTCCAGCGATGACTGATAACAATGTGGTCTATCTGTGTCCATCGCTGAGTCGAGCTCGGTGGACGCCAGGTCAGACAGTGCCTTTCTTTATGTCTGAAATTTGTGCTGGCTAAAAATAGGCGGTTATCTGAGCATAGTTGTAATAGGCGATCACCGTTATCTGTACGTTCAGCTGGGATTCCGAAAGTGCCACCTAAGTGCCTTTCTGCCTCACTCAGTCTACCCACCTGTGCGTTGAGGTCACCTGCAACAACCACTACGTCCGAACGTTTGGCTTTCGAGAGGAGGTTAGACAGTTTATGGTAGAACTCGTCCTTCACTTCATCCGAACTGCAGTCAGTGGGTGCGTAAGCAGAGATTACAAAGAGACAACGGCGAGTCTCACTATTCCTTTTAGTTCTCACTGTGCCGTTCAGCCTCATAGCGCAGAGGCGACTATCAACTGGGATCCAGTCTAGTAGTGAGTTTTCTGCCCTACTGCTTAATGCTATACCTACACCTGCAAGACCACGAGAGCTAGCTATCGAATCTCCAGAAACTCGAAGGGTGAATTTTGTGCATTCACCAGATTGGTCAGGAGAGGTCAGGTGAATAACCACACTTGGGTCCTGTATGCGTGTCTCACAAACACAGCACACATCCATGCCCGAGTTGCTAGAGTCTTTGCCAACGAAGCCTGTTGGCCAATTTGACGGAGGGTGCGGACATTGAAGGCTCCAATATGTAATTTGGAGCGTGGTTTAAGGAGACCAGGGATGCTGTTCTGTGGACTCAGATCGTTGTCGAAGGCTGCAGAGGTAGGAGAAATTGAAGATGATGCAGCATCATTAATTAAGAGACGTGAAGGAAGATTAGAAGGTAATGATGGAGGAGGAGGATAGCAGTCAGAAGAAACTTGGGTGCTGACAGAGTTGTGAGGGCGGTTGACACTTCCCGGCTGCCCACACCGTGGAAGGCTATTTCTTCTTAAGGTACCTGAAAGAGATTTGTGTGACCGCAGAGCCCATCGGACATCTGCTTGAGGCCTGTCACACTCAGCCTTTTGAGTATGATTATTTTGAACTTTTGTATTTTTGGGACCGGATGGTTGAAAGGCAACGACAAACGAACCAACACCGCCGGCCCGGCAGACCGTGGGGCAAGGTGAAGTGTGTTATTTCGGGGGCCGTCCGTCTGATAGACGTCTCCCTCTGGTTACCTGACCACACAGGTAGACGTAATCGCAGGAGAATTTTCGTTAGACCTAGAATATGCACATAACATAGTCCTGTTAGGTGAAGACGCTGACAAGATGCAGAGTATTCTGAACACTTTGAGTGCCAATTTGAGAATGTTTGGGATGCATTTCCCACCACCCAAATGCAAATTGTTGCTCCAGGATTGGTCTTCAACAGTGCCCACTGCCACTAACAACAGAGAGTGTAGTGATTGAGTGTGTCGACCACTTCACTTACCTGCGAAGTAGGATCAGTCCTGCCCTGATGGCTGGCTCAGTGGCCGATGAAATCTCTGCACGAATACAAAAGGCTCAGCTGGCTTTTGCCAACTTACGCCACCTATGGCGCCACAGTGATATCCGATTGTCTATTAAGGGTCGCGTGTGATCCACAGCAGTCCGGTCTGTTCTACTGTATGGCTTTGAAACATGGCCATTCAAGGTGGAAGACATGAGAAAGCCTCGAGTGTTTGACCATTGTAGCGTAAGCCGTATTCGGTATCATGGTTTGAGCCATGTGGGGCGATGCAGAGTAGCCGGTTGGGGTCCGCGAGTCAAGAGAAACCAGTGGTTGGAGTGTCTAGGTGATATGGCTCAGAACCAATGTCAGTGGCCCAGATGTACACACACTAGTATCATCTTAACGATGCTATGGTGAATCTCATTATTTTCTCACTATTCCTTTCCCTCTCCTCATACTTTATATTTCTTTTTACTGAATTTTCTTTCCTTCGTCTTGCACCTCACTGCCTTTTTTACTTGATGTAGTGATATGAGGTGTGGCATTTCTGACCGTTAGGCAGTAATGCCTAGTCCTATATTGATAGATGATGATGATATATATAGGAAAATGGGTTGCGTATGCCCATCCAGCGCCTACATCGACATGCAGTGTTAAAAGAAGTTGGATGAGGTTAGAAGAGGACTCAGTGTGATCAGACTAAGATGTGGCACTAGCCCATGAAGTTCCTGGCTGTTGCTTTCAGCCGTGTAAGGAGGTGCAGACTTTGGTAGTGTTGTATTCTCTGAGTTAGGTGATTTAATTGTGAACCTTTAATTTTCTTTCTAGATATCATCAGCACTAACTTCATAGTGAGCTGTGGACTCCCAGGTTGGGAACCCCGAGATCATAGAAAACAATACTTAGTGACCTTCGGCAACACGGCTGAAAACTGGTCATAATGGTGCATATGTGTGACGGCTTCCAAAGCTTGGACATCTTCACCAACCCTGATTGACCACGTATACCATGACATAATTCTTTTGTTACTCTCTTGTTCTTTGCATGCTACTGTGAAGTGTGGCAACTTGAACCAAATCACTTGTGTATGAGGTTCTACACTGATTTCGTCTGTCTATCAAGCAAGGTAATTTAAGAAAATAGGATCTGGTATTACTGTGATATGGCTCAAGTTACTATCTTGTAAACAACACATCGTGGCATAAACTAGCAATAGGAAAAGCAAAAAGAATTAGAAGAATATCGTTGCTCAAAGAACACCACAATGAGAGAAAAAGAGATTAATGGAGTAAAGACATAGGACTTTATGAGCGCACTACCATGAAGTAAAATAACCCAGTCGACAGAACTTGAGTAATTATTTCTAGATGAAAAAAACTTGAACTTTACAAATAATTCAAAACTCACCAAAATAAAGGAATGCCAAAACGATGACTAAAGTTCGACATCGAAGTGATAACTCGAACCAATTTCCGCCCATCTAAAGTAAAAGTAAACAGAATGTGATACAAAAAACTGCTGTAAACGCCTTACCACTTGTTGAATTCTTATCCTTTTCTACTTCATCACACTTATAATAGGAGAGCCTGAACACTCTTTCACCAAATTTGAGACTTCCACAAAAGTGAACACGTCCACAATCTGAAGACTTAATAATAATTTGTGCGTTATCAATGGACAATTGTAGCATTTTATTTAAAATGTATGAGACAACTTTTTACTTTGACATGTGAGTCAGAATTATGTATATACAAACACCACACACACACACACACACTTTAGATACACCTAAAGAAAGCTTCATTGTGACTGAACACTAGTCATATGATATTTCATCTCTTATACCCTTTTTCTTGTATTGATGTACAGCATGAAAAATAAAATGAACAACGTTAACCTTGTTTATATTTTTGTACTACTCTATGAGCAGCAGTTAATTTGTGAGGATTAACGATGGTCACTGGCTGTATGAACTTCCAAAGCACGACTGGAAGGTTCATGGGTGGAAGACTAAACACAGTTCTACAGATAACTGATAATGGATGAGTGGGTTATTTACGTAAACTTTCACACTCGTCAGTAGATTGCCATTGCAATGCATCACATTAATTTCGTCAAATATTTTTTACACTTCAGTTAAATTATTTTCTATTTTGCAGTAATTTTCTACTCTGGCAATATTTTCATAATTTCAACTTTGTACTACTTGATATTGGTACGTAGTAACACTCACGAAGTTTGGAGCCTGATGCCCCACGTTACGCATCAAGTTACGTTGCAGAGTACTTTGTTTTGCACGGTACCATTCCCTTTATCATTCACTATTATCTATATATTTATTATTTGCTGGACCGAGTGTTTGGTCTTTACTTCTAGAAGAAAACTACAGCATTCGGATTATAAAATGGCTCATTGATTCAAGGAGTTGACTTCCAACCGGTAGCTGACAAGTTCCAAGACCGCTGCACCTACCGAGGTTTCAGCAGCCATGTACTATCACTAACCCTCACATAATAGGCGCGGTTCATTGTCCGCTGCACAAATGAGCACAAGGTTGCTATGTGGATTTTGATTTCGACGTTATACCTGCCAATATTCGAACCTGAAATGTTGCAGACCCAAAGGATGAAGATAATCGCTGATAATCCAGATAACTCCTTGTCTTAGGAAAATGAACAACCTCTACTAAAGGTGAATTCCTTTCGAACTTCATTACCGCTCCTTAGCAGTTAATGCAGCTAAAGTTGATAATTGTCATAAGCACGATGAATTTTTACATTCTGATAGTTGCCTGAACTGAGTAGTGAAGCTGAGTTAGAAGAGTAAATGAAAAAATCGGCCCGATAGAGAACTACAATGACGCGGTGGTCAGGATTGAATATCACAATAACCCAATGAGTTGGCACGCCTTTCCCTTGAGGTCTTAACATACCATAAAGAACAGTTGGATAACGTTAAGACAAAATGCAATCACTATAATAATGCGAATAGCTACTTTAAAACAATTAGTTCCTTTTATAAACTTCTACAAAACAGTAAGAAGCAAAGTGCCTGAACCGTGTAATGTATCTGCGCAACTCATTAGGCACTACCTAATAAATTTTGATGGATAGTTAGGCAGTAAAAAATAACCAGAGCACCCAAACTAACTCTTCACTTTGTCCCGAAGAACGATATCTTCACCAGTCTTCCGTATAAAGGTGATTCTCATAGTACAATCCTTAAACAGAGACTTAACTCTGCTGTTAGAAGAACATACTATGTAGCTAGGGTTCGACTAAAGGAAACTACCAAGTCTGTACATTCTCCCAAACCCTTACAGAATATGAGAGAAAATGCCACACCCCACTGTATCTACCAATTCAAATGTACATGTGGTGACACATACATGGAAAGGACTCATAGATCCATACAACTCAGCACCTCAAAGCATATTCCAAAGTGGCTTCAGAGAACAATTGAATCCCCTGAAACCATTTATGTTGGTAGCAAAGTCCTTCGATCGCGAGACATATTTTTGAGACCGGTCACAGGACTGACAGTGCTACTCCGTTTAGACCTATTTACAAAACGTATTGGAAGCAGATCCTTAAATTTCTTGAGGCTTTAGCGATTAAAAATTTAAACCACCCTTTTGTTAAAAACAATTTATCACATTAATTCTCCCTTGGCGAATTCGACTCTGAAACCAAGTTCGATATACTACTATTTTCACTTGATAGTTTTTCGTTATTATTTGACCTTTAATTCAGCCTTCCTACTTGACCCCTTTTTCACGTTCTCACCCTTGATTCATCTTGGAAAGCGAAACAAACCACAAAATCTCACTTGGTTTCAGATCATTTATCTGTTAGACAACCATGGAACGCTGAACAGATGTTATATCCTAGTTTGTCTATCTTTCACTGCTTTCGACCTTTCGTCGTTTGTGTTTTTGAACGATTTGGTGGTTAATTTGTTATGTATATCAACAGTGACATCATTAGTTTCACTCATTGTAGAGTAGTATCATGCATGTCAACAAATAATTTTTACTATCTATTCTAACTCATACATATTATATCACTGTGTAGTTTCGAAAATGAAATTTTTGTTGAAATTTACATTTTGCAAGTAAATGAAGATTATTTATCCCATTACTTACTGTACTCAAGTGCGCAGTTATAACTTCAGGTGTAGAGTTTTAAATGAAATCAACAAATTTTGATATTACTGGTAGCAGGTATCAGTATCTCATAAAGTAAAAACTAACTAACAAAGTTACAGTCATAAGTGTAGCTTGTACCAAACGATTGTAGAAACTAATGAGAATCATACTCTAACTTCAGATCTTGTTTTATTAGGTTGCCTGTATCTTAAGCACAAATCTAAGCTGATCATTGAAGCTTAGTGAAAATATGAACTGCTATGGTGTATGTGGAGCTAAAGCTACTTGCTTGAGACACCTGACTTCTAAGTAGTCACTTAGGGTCATAATAATGTTGGACCTAAAGAAACTATGTATTCATTTACGGCCCGAGACTTCATACCAACGCAGTAAAGAACGAAAAGAGTAATATGCCACGAGAGAAAAGTTGCTAGTATCCTGATGGGGTTATATGAAGTGTGGCAACTTGGAACATTAATCAGCGGACCCCAACCGGCTACTCTACATCGCTCCACATGGCTCAAACCAACAGTCAGAGACTTCATACATTGATGCCACGTTTTGGTCTAGCCGCCTCGAACTTTTTTCCAGCCTGGACCTACTTTGGCCAACACTGTGTGACGAGGCAGAGTTTGACAGTCACATAGTTGGATGAAATTGATTACTGAGCAGCACACTGCAGTGATAAATCAAGTGTGGCTCATAAGCTATCACACATACTTGTTTAAACGATGCTCTCTTTTTGAAAAATACATTTCCACTTAACTTCGAATGAGTGAAGAAAAGATGTGGATTACATGTTTACAAATAATCATCAATAAAGTATGCTTAAGACTTCCATGAAGCTGAAACCGCCTCAAAGACATCACTGAGTACTTAAAATCTGGTTCTGTTTTCTAGTTATTCCTGAAATGAAGTGGGACTGAATGCCCCTTTAGAGACAAAACGTTATCTGTGAATTGTCCGAAATATACCGTCTCCTTTCATACCAACTTGACTTTTGTATTAGCTCACAGTAATTCTAAGCGTATAACGAATTACACAAAATGACCATAAATGTTCAGTAAAATAGAACCTAAGCAGAAAAACCACTAAGAGCTTGGGCAAAAGAACTTACAGTTTCAATATCCTGTTTTATTATCCAGCTGATTAACAGATTTTCAAGTTCTTGCGTAAAGCTGTAACATTAAGAGTATATTGATATATTTAGTCATCGGTTAAAAGAACAGAATGCTACAAAATCTCAAGATAAGCACCTGCTAACAAAAATATAGGTTTAATCCTCATGAAAACCATTCTTTATGACAACAAAAAGTGAAACCATCGTCAAGAAAAAGCATTATTTAGAAGTTATATTTTATAGAGATGAACTTTATATTCAAAAAGGAAGTTTGTCGAAGAATTATTTAGCCAGGAGATTAGGATATCAAAACGGCTTAAGGACGGTTGTAGAATTTTGCTACAGTACATAATTTGAATGAACATTAAAACGTCAATCTGCAGCTATGACGTGATACACCAATCCGGCACTTCACATCATCAGGTTATAAACTCACAGCTTTTGAATATTTTTAACTGAGTCACAGTTTCAGCAAAATCGCTACATTTAGAAGTTACCGAAATAACAAACGTGAAAACAGTACAACCCGTGGGAGCATAAAAACAGAACCACAAATTTACGTCGGAAACTTCGTTTATTAATAGTGTGAAAAACGAGTGACGCCTACTTCAACAGATACAGTAAAGAAAATACCACAAAACAATTTACACTTTGATACAATTATTTGCGGACTCACGCTTCCCAGTCTGTCACTGCCGTATAATCTTCAAAAGTTTCTTCGTTTCTTTCCTATGAAACAAAGTGGAGTGACTATTGGGCGAAATATTTCATTTTTTCAGACGAATTTAGTACTATTTCATATAAAGAATGATTGAATACTTACCGTAAATGTACATATATTCATTGAATCAGACATGTTTTCATGCGTTCACTTTTTCACAAATAATTTCTAAAATACATTGAAACTGCATCAATGTATTTAATAAAGTTAACTAACATGTAGTAGTACGCTCTATGGTTCAAGTGAACAACAGCTGACAGCAAATATACGATTTCACGCAAAAAATATAGAATTTGGCACAGAAATTTACTAGTACAAGTCACCATACTTCACAACCATACAATAACGAAAATAAATATGTAGGTACGACTTCAACTTTTTGATCAGGTTATGGCTAGAGACAGGAAAAAAATAGGAACTTCCGAGACTAAACAAAAGTGCTCCGAATAAAATAGCACGTAAGTCGTTCTAACGGTTGATAATCACCAATGAATAACACTGGTACTTTAAGCTTTTATCATCCATCACGAGGAAAGTCATTTTAAGATCCAGTTATTAATACTCTTGGGTATGCTCAGAGCTCATCGAAATCGGTTTTGCAGCATCTTTCTGCTAAAATGAACATGTCAACACTCCCTGATTTTTTTAACAAGTTTCTGATGCCATACATCTTTATTCCCACAAAAAACCGAACATATTGCCCGAATATAGTAGTGATTACTGGTGTCATTCCATTACAACCACCAGTTCACAAGTCCGGTCCTGAACAATAGTTACTACATTGATGTAGTGATCAGGTTTGCATATCACAATGACTCAACCAGTTACGCTGGCAGGAACGCTTGTTGCTTGAGATTTTAACGTACCAGAAAGGTCTGATGGATAGTGCTAAGACAAAAAGTAGTTACCGCTGTAATGTCCTGTTATATAACTGTGAATTGACGGCTGATAACAGATATTAAAGAATACGAGTTTCAACCATAAATGTCATGGTAACACTGCTAGCGTATGGTGCAACCACTATGTGAGCAATTTTGAGGTTAGGTGTACGATTCTAGGCAGTTACTCAGCAGATAAGGTTGTTAGCCGACACCAAATAAGGTATACTGAACAGATATTGCGCGTACTGAAGGAACCTGTTACCTTGATAGTTTATATGAGCTAGACGCTACCAAAAATGAAACCAACCCATAAAATGTGACACAGTGGGTCTGAGCGGTTTTGATGAACGTAGGTAGTTCGAGCATTCAAAATGTTAGAAAAAGGTTGTTGAAAATCTTGAGAGATGGCAGGAACATTTTCGCTAGACCTAGAATATGCACATAACATAGTCCTGTTAGGTGAAGACGCTGACAAGATGCAGAGTATTCTGAACACTTTGAGTGCCAATTTGAGAATGTTTGGGATGCATTTCCCACCACCCAAATGCAAACTGTTGCTCCAGGATTGGTCTTCAACAGTGCCCCACTGCCACTAACAACAGAGAGTGTAGTGATTGAGTGTGTCGACCACTTCACTTACCTGCGAAGTAGGATCAGTCCTGCCCTGATGGCTGGCTCAGTGGCCGATGAAATCTCTGCACGAATACAAAAGGCTCAGCTGGCTTTTGCCAACTTACGCCACCTATGGCGCCACAGTGATATCCGATTGTCTATTAAGGGTCGCGTGTGATCCACAGCAGTCCGGTCTGTTCTACTGTATGGCTTTGAAACATGGCCATTCAAGGTGGAAGACATGAGAAAGTCTCAAGTGTTCAACCACTATAGTATAGGCCGTATTCCGTGGTGTCATCACGTGAGTAACGCAGACGTCAGTTTTATGGACTTTTAGGAAGTAGATGTAAATCAGTTGAGGAGATTATGAACATCGACTGAGATGGTTGGGACACATATTACGTATCCTCGTCACACAATGTTGGTCGAAGTAGGTCCAGGCTGGGAACAGGTTCGAGGTGGCCAGACTAAAACATGGCATCAATGCATGAAGTCTCTGACTGTTGGTTTGAGCCATGTGGGGCGATGCAGAGTAGCCGGTTGGGGTCCGCGAGTCAAGAGAAACCAGTGGTTGGAGTGTCTAGGTGATATGGCTCAGAACCAATGTCAGTGGCCTGGATGTATACACACATTATCGTCATCTTAACGACGCTGTAGCGAATCTCACCATTTTCCCATTCTTTTTTCCCCTCTTTTCATACTTTTTATTTCCTTTAACTGATTCTTCTTTTCTTCATCTTGCACCTCACTGTCTTCTTACTTGGTGTAGTGATATGAAGTGTGGCAACTCGAACCGTTACGTAGTAACGCCTGGTCTTGTGTTGATATTGATGACTGATGATGAAATGGCTCAAAATCGGTAACAATGGAACAGATTGAAGCAATCTTTGTAGTCTTCAAAGTCTATAAGATTAACATTAACCTACACCATCTTATTCTCCCTACTCCCAAACATTTTTCTCCACTTCAATCTTGTTCTTTTTATACTCTGTTCATTACATACTGCTGTGAACTGTAGCAGCTCTGAGCTAGTCACCTTTATGCGACATTCCTCAATCGTTTGTCTTTCTGCATCAGCTTTCCCCACTTAAATGTCAGAAATCGTAGAACACTAGATTATTTCTTTTTCAGTTATTAATTTCGTTTTCAACGGTAAATAAAAACATCATTAATGTTGGCCATCACTGAAGTCCATAGCTTAAAAACTGGAGTTTGTTCTGGAGTAATTACATCACAACAACGGGAGGATTGTCGCTTATCTAATCAACAAAAGGGTACAGGAAAAACAACTGGGGAATCCTTCAATGTAATTATAGAATTTAAGTGCAAATAACGATTGCATAGAAAACGAGCGATATCGAAGTGATTATAAGTACATGTAAAGAGAAAGAATCTAAAGACTGAAGCTTAGTTAAAATCTCCCGAAACTTTAAAGAGTGAAAACATCTACACCATTATGACCAATTTCCAGCCACTTCATCAAGCATCTCCAATCATTGACTCCGATGGCCAGTCTAGAGGACCCCCAATATGGCACTCTACAACTCCATAGATAGCTCAGGGCGACATAGACTCCGTCAACTGGTGCACATCTTGGTCTAGCCACCTTGAACCCTCTTTCCATCTCACCCAACTTCTGCTAGCCCTCTACGTCGACGTAGGTGGACTCGAGATGCAAAGTACATGTGCTAGCTACCTTAGTCAATAAAAAATTATAAATTCATAGATTAGTACCCTCCTCCTAACCTCTACATTACTCGTATGGTGATTTAATCATACACGAGCAATGTTACAAAGACATTTGTGGTCAACCGCCATTTAACCATATCAGCATACATATCGCTCAGTTTCGTGTCAAGAAAATATTCACCATAAAACTCCATCTCAGAGAAAATAAGAGTGCAGAGATTAGGAAGTAAAATGGGTAATTGTTCGAGGGTGAGGACGATGATAGAAGAAAAACGCAACGTTTTCTCGCCATTATCGCTCAGTTTAAACATTCAGCCTTTTCTTCTTCTTCTATTCACCGTTCTCCTTTGTGCCCGGTGACCAGCCGGATAATATACTCTCTCCTACAGAGAAAAGCATAATTTTGCAAACACGACATAAACATGAGCCGTTTCTCAAAACAATATTAAGTCCATAAAAATGTTTAACAGACAGTGCAAAGCTTCGGAGTGTCTGGGTGACCTTAAACTGTCCATACTACCGACCAACCAATAAATATTACTTTAGGAATTTTTACGCACCTTCTATCGCACGGAGTCGCAGAAAACAGGAAGGAAGAGACAACAATTCATATGGTTTATCAATTAGTTGTCCACCCAAACCCCAACCTATGGCCCTGACTAACTTCGTAAACATTAATACTTAATTTAAAGTGGTTCGGACTGCATATTCCGAGGCATGAAACAGCATAGAACCGATGAAAACCTACCATCTCCAGGACGAACCTTTTTCTGTGTTATGTCTTTGTTCTTGGTAAGCAAACTTCAGCATCCGTATTCCAGCTTTGCAAACCCAATTTCTATATCCTTGCGGTTAATCTTAATTCTACTTTTGTCTGTTTATTGGGAATGTCACACAGTGAGACAGCATCACTTACTGGATAACGTTTCGGACATAATTTACCGTCCACATTCATATCATGTGACATGATGTGAATATGGATAATAAATTGTCCAGAACGTTATACAGTAAATGATACTGCCTCAGTGATATTTCTAATAAACAGACAAATGGAATTACAATTGTAATTAATCTACCACAGTGCCCGGCTAATCTTAACTCTTTGAACTCTGACTGTGAACTTTTTGGACCCCATTTCTGAGTACTAATATCTAAATCCCATATGAAATTGCATTATTTCCAGCATAAAACGAACTGCAAGCATTTATTAAACCCACTTGCTTTGATAAATTATCGAGGGGAATCCTTATCCTAACGAGTGGTATCAGTCCCTTCGATGAGAACATTCAAGGAGAAATAAGATCTTTACAAAGGATCCTATTGCAAAAAATAACACACGCCAAATTTGGCATGTGTAGGACAGTTAACTGGCCTTCTATTCTTATTACTGGAAAATATGTCTTCAGCGATAATGGCTTTTTATTCTACACAAACCTTTATATTACTTTTACATCACCAGCTAGTTTTGCACTTTGAGTGTAAGTATACAAAATATTACAAGTCTGTGTGAATTAGAGTAACGCACATATTGGAAAACACCGCTACATGTGTCCAGACCTCAAACTTGGTGCTGTAAAAATAGCGAACGATAGTTCTTTGGGTTTTCACTCCATATCACTTCAAAACGTTTCTCGCTTTGAATAGCTACCGACTCTGTCTGATTTTCGATAAGTCAGAAAGGATACAAATAATCATTCCAGTTTAGTCCGTTTATTAGAAATATCATACAGTGAAACAGTATCATTTGCTAGATAACGTTTCGGAAGCAATTTGTTGTCCATGTCATACTGCCCATCATTTCGCTAACAGCGCCTAATACGGATACGGAAAATAGATTATGTCGAAACGTTATCCGGTAAACTATACTGTTTCACTGCATGACATTTCCAACAAACAGACTAAATTGGAATAGCAATATATCACAGTGTCCGGGTTTTACTCCTATATTAATCT